GAGTGGAAGTGTCAGAACTGATTCGCAATGGAAAAGCTATCAAACGTATTGATCATCCCTCAAAAGGAGATCGGATGGAAAAATGCAAGTCTGTTGTGGAAAAGTTTCTTCACCTAGACCTTGATGATCCCCATGTGGACTTAGAAGAGTTCATGCGTAAAGAGGTGCTGCCTTCTGCAGCCTCAGTCCTGTAACAGGGGTATGTGTAAAAGCATAGATTACATCATATCTACCATGTTCAGTAGGAGAGTTTGGTAATTTAAAGAATGATCACTATGACTAACACCTACACTACATTTAGATTGTAACAAACTGTGTATAGTTATGTCCTTTCTTCTTCTCCCTGTTTACGCCAAGTACTGTAGTTACATATCTCTGCAATATGGTGTATGATATGAAAGCAGGAAGAATGAAAGAAGAGAATTCAAGAACCTTTTCCAGCTGCTGGGTCACCCAGTTTGTGCATTTTCTACCCCTGTTGTTAGATCTTCACATTAAAAAAATATTGTAGAAAAATCACAAAACATTTCTGCTGGTCTCATAAGACTGTGAAACCAAAGGGTTTATTATTTTGTATTGTGCCAAAGTGATCGTTTCAGCCATTTTAGGATCAGCATCAAGGATTCCAAATAAGTCTGTGCCTCAGACTCCCATATCAGCAAGTAACAGTTGTCACAATACAAACCAGTGATGTAGAGGCTGATAAATGGAAATACAGAGGGATTTAATGAGCTCTGCAGATTTTCATATACCAGCATTTCTGTCCAAAATGCCAGAGATCCCAGGAGTTATTATAAAAAGAATGCTAGAGGTCAGAATCAGTGGCGACTGATAAACAGGGGAAGTGCTTTGGTTTTACTGAGAATCACTCTCATAAGGTTCTATATGGTACGACTATGTATCTATGCCATGTGGGTATAAATAAAAGCAAAATTACAAAGCTAGGAAACTAAACACTATACTAGGGATGTAAGACAGAAATTCACATTTTATATTCTATTTTCGAGTATTGAGTAAAACTTAACATTAAAGGAATAATACCAGAAGGGGAGGATTCCCTTTCACTTCTCGTCATGCAGAGGATCTTTACTGAACACAGTATTTGATGTATGCATATGCAACAAAAATTCATTAACAGATTAATGAAGCAGGAGACATGACATGTAAGTACTATAGAAGTAATAACCTTTCCTGAAACGAGATAAGTGCCTGAGATTCCTTATCTAAATAAGACAGAAGAGACATTAGATAGCTTATGGTTGACTGCCAAAACTTCCTGTAACTGCTTACAGTATGGCTAATAAAAGACAGCAGCAGATATACTACATCTCTCTTCAGCTATATTTGATTTCAAGAAACCAAAATTATTAATGTCACATAAATTGAGAGAAAATTTACATGAGAAAAAAGTAATTACCTTCATTAACTATCAGTATTAAACATCTTATCTGGTATGTCTAGCTGAAGATAGCAAAAAGATGAATGTGAGTGCACATCAAAAAGATTTTAATTTGGAGACACTGCTTTGGGTTTGATTCAGTGTGGAATTTCCTCCTTTATGGTGAAGGAATTATTATTATTACAAAATAAGGACCTTATGTTATCTCTGTGTGAAACTAGGATAGTGGCGAAAGTTTAACGTAATTTACCTTAAAAAATACAAGAACAAATTACTGAATCATGCAGCTACTGCTATTTCCAGTGCAATCATCATACTGTCTGCAAAATAATATCTAGCATCTTGACAATGTTACCATTGAAGTTGAACGGTAAGAGTGAATCAGGCCTTGTACAACACTTGCAAGTGTTGTAAATACAAACTGATTTTTCTCACTAATATATTCTCTTTTACTAATTATACATACAGCATTCTAAAGATATACTGTACAGAAGAATATCATATATTAAATATCCATAAATTATATTTTTGGCATTTTTTCTTGTCAACCACTGCCTAGGCTAAGGATACACTCCTTACTAATTAAGCAGATGCCATCAGAGCAATTTAGCCGTCAGTCATCTTCTACTTATGAAATCCATTCTGGCAGCACTAGGTATCAAAGGATCTCCAAACGTCATACAGCATTTATCAAGCGTGCCCCACAACACGCCCTGAAATAAACAGCAACCTGGACAAATGAAAAGCAGAGGGGTTGTGACTGACCTGTGGCAACGTAGCAGGCTCGTGAGGGAAGCAGGAATAGAAATGTAATCTTCAAGTGCAAACCTCCAGTTGCTTCTTTTATTGTGTTTCGTTAGGTTCTTTGTATAGAAGATAATAATACAAACCCAAGATTCTTATTTGAACAATCAATTGTGGAAGCAGCTAAACATGTGCAAGTAAATTATATCCCTTTATCTCCTTCCACAAGGACACCTAGAGGCACACTGTACCTCCTTATTTTGGGGAAGTTTTCAGTGGCACATTTGATCTCAGAATTGTCCAACTAACCATGAAGAATGAGTTGCTCCCGCTTCTGAGTAGGTAAATAAGTTCTTTAACCTGAGAAGCTGAAGGGGGTACAGTAACCCAGATAGCTCTTTTCTAACCCACTTTATCTCACATTTTTATCCTTTATTAATGTCTGTTTCCAAGTTTTTTGCATTTACCATTTTTAGCTTAATGCTGTGCCTTCAAAATGGAAAGCTGATTTCTTGAGTTCTTTATTAATTTTGAATTCTCAAACTCTTCGCTTTATAAATATCAGCAACAATTTGGGAAAGTTAAAATCTTTTCAGAATATATGCATCTCAAAAATGCCTGTAGCTGTATTAAGGTTTGAAAAACACTTTTTTTTTTTTCCCCAAAAAGATAACTTTGGTGGAATTTAGATGTCATGATGAGGAGAGCGGCTTAACAGAGTATTGCTTCAAATAAGGAAACTTACATTTAAAAAAATATTAATACAGTTATAAAGCTATAGCTGTTAACTATACTCAACTACTTTAGTTCTATTTGCTCTTTTACATGCTCTCTCATGTAATCTTCATCCACTCCCCCCCTTTTTTCATACTGTTGTATGATCTGAAAATGCAATTAAACATTATATTAAAACATACTACAAAATAGTTATTCCTGTTATGTTTCATGTTTTTATTTATTGTTTTCAGTAAGTGCATGAAACTATCTCACTAAATGCATGGACACAACGAAACAAAAACCCGATGCTTATGCCTGACAGTGGATTGACAGAGAAAAATTCCTGATAAAATAATGTACAGATTTTTAATACACAGTATCTTTCTATACAGTGTACCTTTAGAATACCATATGCATTATCCAGCATTATGGAGGACTAAGGAAGATGATTTGGAATGACATTGACCTGGTTCTGTCAGCAGCAGTGACTATCAGAACACAGAAAGTATGCATCCTGGCTAATAGTTCATGCAAGGTAGATAAATGTAAACAAAACAAACCACCAGCCAAAAAACAACCAAAAAACAGAATGGCAAAAACCCCACCCTGACTGTCTCAGATGTTTTAACCAAACAGTTAAATTACTGAACAGCTGATGTTCTAGAACAGCTGTGGATTTTTAAAATGAGTGCTTTAAAAAACAACTGTTAATACAAGCAAAAGCTTACGTGAGCTTACGAATTTAATAGCTATAATATACCACCTATAACCTGTGGACAAGTCCTTACTTCTGTTTGAGAGTGAGTATGTGTGGCCTTGAAGTTTCTTGACGTGTCTCAAATCTCATTGCCTTCTTCCAACTGATTTCACAATGCTTTAATTATAATGTGCACCTTCAGCATTTTTTAAAGTTATTTCTAATGAAATATTAAAGTATTTTTCTTTAATGCTTACTATTAAGGAAAAAAACAAATTTGCAATATTTAAATCATGTACTTTAATTCTTATTTAAAAATATATTTTTTCTGAAAATTATTTTCCTGGTCAATGTTAAAGGATCATGTAAAACATTCCATACAATGTCAGCAAAAAATTTTTATGGAGATATACCTTATGTTAAATAATACAATAGTACTGTTAAATTAGTATGAAATAAAAAACTCGATATACTAGTATTGCTTCTATATATTTAGCTTCACAGTTATAACCTACTTTTATGTATTTGTGTATTTTGTCAAAAAAGCTAATAAATAGGCAAGAAATAACTGCCTGCAAGAGAGAATATAGAAGATGTGTTTCATCGCTACTCTCAAATTCACCAAAGCATATTCAATAGAGGGAACTGACAGTCTGCATATTATGCACAATCCACATATAAATTCCACTGTTTATTTGCTTATTTTCTCCTATACTGTAACAAAACAAAACTACCCAAACAAACTGCATGCATGTAATCTACACCCTAATAATAATTCTATAATTTTGAACAAGTACTTTCATCCTTTGGTCTTGCATAGTTTCACAAAAGAAAATAGACCACGGTATTACTGTACTGAGATTATCAAGAATGGTAACTTAAAGTACAGTACAGGACTACTGTTTATATGGTAGATGTACTAATTATTTTTTCTAAAAAAACTCAGTATTTTCAAGTCTTACCTCTTCAGCTGGTTACAAAGTAGAAAGTGTGATGCTATAGCATAAGCAACTCCTTTGTTCGTCTCCACATTAAACTTTCTAGATTGCTGCTGAGCTATGTGAAATGTGAGCTCACCTGCTTACGTAGCTGTGCTGATTTTGACAACTTCATGAAGGTCAGATGTGGTTTAAAAGCTCTTTCATCTCCTGCCAAGATGCCCTTTTCTTGAAATATCTTCTTCATAGTCTCTGAGCGGGGAGAAAAATGTAGAGGTACAAAGATATTACATGATAGAATGCTTAAAAATGTGCTTTCTACTGTAATATGAGTCACAGCCGCTCCACATGGAAAAAACAGGATGATGAGTCCTAAAAGGCAGAGAGACTTCCAGTTAACTTCAAAGGTACATACTATTTCATGTGACAATAGTCTTATATTTGCAGTTAATATGGGTCAAAAAATCGGCTTTACTAAAATAATGGCAAATAGAAAGCCGTCCATGCTGTCTGCTTTTGCTATCAAAATAAGAACTTGACATTAGAACTGTTCAGGAGTTACTCCCACCGGAAGAGTTTTGGAAACTTCAGGAACTCTGAGCATGTAACAGAATTGTCTCTCTTCAAAAACACTGGTGAGCTTTATTGTCTGTATTTGGGTAATCTCCCACTCAGACCAAAGGAAATCTGAAATTGAAAGCTGTAAATTCTGGCACTGGATTTACGTGGCAGAATTAGAAAACGTATCAGGTGTGCTGATGATTTTTGTTTTTCTAAGCTTCACTGTTGCCTTCCAAGCTAATTTCCTATTTTTAATGTACACTTTTATCTACAGCCCAGGCCAAAGCAACTCTACTACACTGACCTAGTTTACTATTTCCCAACTCATCTGCCCAATGTAACGTTTCATTTCTTGGAAATAAATTTCACTACAACTTTTGAATTATGTTCCATATTTCTTTTACCTGAAATACTTCAAATGAAAAATTTCTGTTGTAATTTTGAAAAAAAGATTAAGATAAAACTGATAAAACCTGTGGCAAAAACAATACCAGTAAGTAGAATATCTCTATTGCTGAAAAACAGAAAAACTGCAATATCTTTTTTTTTCCTTTGCAAATACAACTTCCAATTTTTCACTAGCTGTAGGTCTAGCTGACTCATGCTATCCTTGAACTAAAATCAAAAGGGGGAAAAAAAAAAAATCAATCCTATCACGAATTTAATCAACCCTTACCATAACGATGTATTTGCATTTAAGTGTATTATTTTTTGGCTTGATAGTTCAGCTGTAACAGAAAGATCCAGTGCTTTGTTCTCCCACCTGGAAGAAAATGCATTACACTGGGAAGCAAACAGCACAGCTGGCTGAAAAAAAATAGGGAAGGCCCAAGGAAGAGGAATATAGGCATATAAAGCTGGCTAGCGTTAAGTCTGCCAGTTCACGCTCCTGTAACAAGTCATTCCGGAGTCCTTACTCTTACCATTTTTTGTTTTCTATAGTAACTATTTAAGTGAGCTACTTTGAAATCACACTTGATATTTTACAAGTTTGTGCATTACTTTGCAACAGAAAAGTTCTAGAAGCTCCAAGTATTCACTTGGGACCTGGAGATCAAAATTCACTTCCCTTTCTCTGCTGCATATGATTTATAACCTTAGGTTCCACAGTCTATGCAACTAAAGTTGGAATTTTGAAAGAAGCCAAGGAAATCAATGACCCAAATGCCATCTCTTAAACAGGCCCACTTGAAAATTGTCTTTCAAGCTTCACTCCCCACTGATAAGATGCTGATGCATTTTACAAAAAAGAATTGGCCCAACCTTTTATTCTAACTCACAGGATGCTGAAAGGACAACTGGATTAAAACTTGTGAAGCATTTGCACAATGGTAATAGGGGTCATCTTACTATGGCAGATGCTGAAAATAACCTACTGGAATGGTTGAGGCGGGAAGGGACCTCCGGAAGTCATCTGGTCCACCCTCCCTGCTCAAGCAGGGCCGCCTACAGCTGGTTGCCCAGGACTGTGTCTGGATGAGTTCTGCCTATCTCCAAGGATGGAGACCCCACAACCTCCCCGGGCGACCTGTGCCAGCGCTCGATCACCCACACAGTAAAAAAGTGTTTCCTGATGTTCAGAGGGATCCTCCTGTGTTTCAGTTTGTGCCCATTCTCTCTCTCTCCCCCCGACCCAGGTATGTATATATGTATGTACAAGCATAACTGCTATATAGATCCACAGATCTATGCATCTAGACCTATAGGCCTACCATGCATCTACAGCTATAGCTATGTATCTATACACAAGTACAGCTTACCTACTTGTATTATTTTAAATTGTGTCTGCAGGAAACATTTCTAAATTTACACTGAATCCCCACTAAGCTATTGTGCAGCTGTGCGCACAAATGCTGCTGAACAACAGATTAACATATCAAAACAGAAGACTACAAATAAATGTTTGCTGCTTCTTCAAACTGAGATATGGAAGTTCAGATTAAGTCATTTAGTTATGGTGTGCATGTATTTCCATGCATCCAACGGCCTGCTTATTTTCTGATGTTAGTAAGCTAACAAAATGTTACATTTATCTGAAACCGAAATTATCTGTAACAAAGCCGTTTTCTGGTTCCTTTGGCTCTCTGAACTGCATCATTTGGGGACTCATTGACTTCGATGTTCCAGCAAACGATTAGTCTTATCAAAACCAGGTCTGTGCTACCCTGTGATATTCTGACTCAGTCTTGTGGACTGTAGTTCTTTTTCTCCCCTAAAAGCTCAAAGTCTTTCTGCCATCATGTCTTACGCCAAGCAGTGTCTTACCTCCCACTCTGCAATTAAGATCTGTGCTGGTGAAGATTTGCACCCCTAAGGGTGTCCCCCTAACTCCAGTAAGAGCTTCGTGTCAGACCCGTGGTTTGCCAATGTGCATCTGATCACAGGATTTTAAGCCCAGTGTTTTCAACAGGACAGACTGATCATATGGCACTATAAATGTGTGTTACAGTGAGACAGTAGGGCACCTACGCTTTACACTGCTGAACAGCAACCACATGGCCTCCATGTCTCCATTTTGTGCTAAATAGCTTTGTTCAATATCTGCTTCTATTTATCTTTCTAAATTCATCATTTTTTCATACCTGGCAATTCTAATAAAGAAAAAACATAATGAAAAGAAAGCATAACTTCAGAGAGACAGCGCAGTTTTAAATTTAACAGATTTACATGTGTGTGTGTGTGTTTTCACACGTTCTCATGGTGATCAGACTTCTCACACAGCTTTGTCATGGCACAGACTGTCGTTAAACATCACAGGCTCAAGAGATTGGCCACACTTGCTGGTACTACAGATAGAGCCAGTTTTGCAGTATTTGACACTTAGGGAAAGCGTGACATTTTACTGGTTAAGGTGACTTATGAACATAATTAGCACAACGTTTCCTTCCTCAAAGATAATGAAAATAGAAAGAAATCTGAGTAGATGGATGGGAAAAAAAAGAAACAAAGGGAAATATTTTCCTGACAGCACAGGAAGGTTAAAAAATAACGTAATGCTATTAATATCCGTGCAGCTCTTTGAAGAAGTGGCCACAAGAAGGGTTTTAAAAGAAATGGGGAAGGAAGCACGGATGCTGTGGGCAAGAGAAAGTTCCAGGCTTATGGAACAGCACGAAAGTGGATTTGAAGACTGAGCAAATACACAAAGGTTAAAGTTTATGATGGGGATTGCCTGAACTGAAAGAAATTAGAGGCCAGTGACCAGAACAGTAGACAGACAATGCCCATGGGTCTTAAAAAATGAGGATCTGTCCTGCCATCTTTCCCCCAAACATCAACATTAGCTAGACTGAAAAATCAAACAAGATCTGTGTTTTCCCTTATTGGAATCATAGAATAGTTTGGGTTGGAAGGGACCTCTAAAGGTCATCTAGTTCAACCCCCCTGCCATGGGCAGGGACATCTTCAACTACATCAGGTTGCTCAGAACCCTGAGCCAACCTGACCTTGAATGGCGCCAGGGATGGGGCATCTACCATCCCTCTGGGCAACCTGTTCCAGTGCTTCACCACCCTCAGCGTAAAAAATTTCTTCCTTATGTCTAGTCTGAATCTACCCTCTTTTAGTTTAAAACCATTACACCTTGTCCTGTCGCAACAGGCCCTGCTAAAAAGTTTGTCCCCATCTTTCTTATAAGCCCCCTTTAAGCACTGAAAGGCCGCAATAAGGTCTCCCCGGAGCCTTCTCCTCTCCAGGCTGAACAACCCCAACTCTCTCAGCCTTTTCTCACAGGAGAGGTGTTCCATCCCTCTGACCAGTTTTGTGGCTGAAAAATGTCAGCCAGTCTCAGGCTGACCAATGTTTGCAGCTTCAAAGTATACCCTAGAAAAGTTAAGGCTATTTTTACAAGCTCAATGACTTCCTGGAACAAATTTTTGGACAGCTTTCAGACCGTCTTTCACGCAATTTGAAGTACTCTGCAATATCATTTTGTACCTTATTTTTATAATGTCAAAATTACTGAATGTCATCTGTCTCTCTTACATTGGATGTGGCTGAATCCATTAGACAACTGTTTCCCCATAATTAGACTTGAAATGTGATGTATGAAACTTACTCAGAACTGCTATATACTGGAAAGGCTCAAAAATTCAACAGCTAGATCAATATAGAATGGTTCATAGAAAAATTGCACAAAGCCATATTCCATAATACAAATGGCCATCTTCTTTCCAAGATTTCATTAGATATGGAAAACTGCTACGTATGTACATTTTCTTCAAGTCTATTAATTTCTGCTTGTCTCTAAACCATGTTCCCTCAATTAAAAGGTTTAGAATTTAGAAACAGTATTCTGTCTCTTTATTGAAAAATGTTGTACTTTACACTTGGAGCTGAAGAAAAGCTAAGCATAGCTAACTTACAGTTATAACTATCATGTTAAGTCATGTTAAAATTTTTAAGCTCTTAGTTGTTTTTTAAGAGGATTCTGTTGGCTATCAGTTAGCAGAAGTTTGGGTTTTACAAAGAAGCTCTTCTGGTCATCTTTCCTTTCCTAATAGTGCTGAGCATAATGCACTCGCAAAGCCTTACAAGACCCAATTTCCAAGCCAATGAAGAACTCAAAGTCATCTATTTCACATGCTAGTATTTATCACAACTTCAACTATATGTCCCCAGAGATGAGCACCACGAATTTAAAAAAAGTATTTTAGATATCATGTTATGCTTGGAATATATAATCAAAAGGC